CCAATACTGCCTTTTGGTTTAACTAATTTACACTGATGTATCCACCTGCAAAGGATACAAATCACTTCTCTCAATTGGAACTGTCCCTTTGATTTATTCTTCCCACCCACACTGTCAATTTTAAAATGGTTTAGGAGAGGAGCCCTGGTGGCTCAGTGGGTAAAGCGCTCAGCTGCTAACTGAAGGGTCAGCATTTGAACCCACCAGCCACTCCGCGGGAGAAAGATGTGGCAGTCTGCTTCTGTAAAGATTTACAACCTTGGAAACCCTATGGGGCAATTCTACTCGGTCCTAATAAGGTTGCTATGATTTGGAATCGACTCCAGGGCAGCGGGGTTTGGTTTGGGTTTTTATCAGGGAAGAGTAATCTTGAATCTCAATTAAAAAAAAAAAAAATCAACAAACCTTTCTATTTCTTCAAGCAAATTCAACCGGCCTAAAACAAATGCATCCCCTTACTACCCTCAACCTGTCGTCAACCACATCGCTGGCTATTTGATCCCAACCAAGGGGAAAAGGCAGTGCTGCCCGGGACAGCTTTGCCCTGACTGCTCGTTAGAGGCCACAGAATAACAGACTGGAATCAACTGCTCAGTTATTTGGCTCTTGCTCTACTGGAGCCAAGTATGCCCAAATTTCAGGGTGGATTCTGGACACATTTTTTACAAAGTCTCAGCAGAAACTTTTACACAAAATCTAAGTTTCTGAAAGAATGGGAGAGTTTCTGCAATAACCTCTAATTGAACTAAAACGGGAGACGTTCATTTTCAACTGGATGGATTGGAATCACATGAACATCTGCTTTTGTGTATATAGAGTTGGAGAAGTGGATGCAAAGAATGGTAGCCCGATGTGATGCTTATTTGGGCGATTAATAGTGGAGTACTAAAGATCTCAGGGTACTTTTCAGCTCAGGAAAGCAGAAAGAGGGGCGAGGGTCCACCAGAAGATGGAGACCCTTCCAAGTTGGCCTTCGGGAGGCAAGGAAGCCTTAAGGGGCAGTGGAGAGCGGGCGGGCGGTGCGCCTGTATCTTAGGGGAAGTGGGAGTGAGAGGCGGAAGTTAGCATTAGGGGCCCCGGTAAGCCAGGCCTGGAGTGGCAAACTGGGTGTTCTCCTCTTTAGAGAACGGGGAGCCACCAACGTGGATAGGAGAGACCAGCTGCACACCTGACTAGCAGGTGTGCAGGCGGGTGCAGGCGAGTTGGCCGAGGCGGGCGGGTGAGCCACGGCTCTGTATGCGGTGACTTGCCGAGTCCCGGGCTACAGCTTATCGGGGTCACGGTCACCGCGGCCATTCAGACCCGAGTTTCGGAGGATACAAGGCGGCACTCGGGGTGAGAGGCCTACACCCCGGAGTCCTCACCCACTTCCAGGCCTAGGTTCCCTTTACTCGGGGACCTAGGGATTAGGGCAAAAACAAGCTCCCCGAGCTTGGCGCGTGCCGCCGGCGCAAGCGCAGCGGCCTCCTCCTTCCCTGGTACCAGTGCTCTGTGGGATCTGCCCGCGGCTGAGAGCGGAGCGACCTCCCCTTGGCCGGGTCAGCGGACACCGCGGCCAGGCCGGGGCCGGCGGGGGAGGGGAGCCAACCGCCATCTTCCCCCGGGGCGCTCAAACCGACAAAGCTGGACCCACGCCCACCCTGGCCGCTCCCGCACTCGCGAGACACCGCGCGAGTCCCGACCCCTCGCCGCGAAGACTTCTGGGAAAGGCAGAAAAGGGGAGGGAAGGAAGCCGGGACCCGGGGCTGGGGCGGGCAGAGGCCGCGAGTGGAGCCTCCGGAAGCAGAAGGGGCGGGGAAAGACGCGATTGACGCGCACTAGGGCCAATGACGGGTGAGCTCGGCCGGGCCTCCGGCCAATGGGCCGCGCCGCCTGGCGCGGGGGCGGACGCTGGCCGAGGGTAGCTTGAGCGCGGCGGCGGCGTTGTTCAGTCAGAGCGAGAACGTTCCAGAGGTGAGTCTAGTGGCAGGGCGGCGGTCCGCGCCCTCCGCCCTCCTTGCGGGCTCCGCTGGGCTGGCCGCCCCGCCTCACAGCGCTCTGTCCGCAGGTCGCCAGCTCCGGCGCTGACGGGTGTGGACCCCGGACGTCGCTGGGACTCCTCCCGCGCTCGGCGGCGGCACCGGCCCGCCCGCTCCTCGCCTGCCCGTTCGCCTCCGCCTCGGACCCCGGTGACCACGCGCCGCACTTCATCCCAGTCCCGGGCGAGCAGCGTTGGGTTTATGTCTTTATTTGACGAAAACGGTGAGTCCGACGGCGGCGGCGGGAGATGGCGGCCACACAAGATGGCGACGGCCGCCGCGTGACCCCGCGCGTGTGGCGCAGTTTCGGCCGGCGCGGGGCTGACTCAGGGCCGCTGCTGCATTTGTGAGTCATCGCCCGGGGGGGGGGGCCGGCGGCACCGGCCCGCGCCGCCCCCGGTCCCCCGCCGGCCCAGACCCTGCCGCGGGACCGGCTCCAGAATGCGGCTCCGGGGCGGCCTGGAACTGCCCTTTCTGCCCCGCAGGCAGCTCGGAGCCGCCGTAGCCATGGGGACAGGAGCGAAGGTTAACTGCGCATAGAACTTTGTCTGCAGCTGAAGGGGCGGGGGGCGAGCGCGGGCCTTGGGTTCCCTTCCCGTGAGGCCGCTCACGTTATGGGAACGCGCCTTTGAAGTGAGCAGCTGTTGCCGAAGGAACCGTGTAGCTGTTTACCGTGGACAATTCCGAAGCTTCCGGTTTGAAAGTCCTGGCTGGGGGAGGGGAGGGGGTTGAGAAGCTGTGGGTGCGATCTCGGCCGGGGGCGGGGCGGGGACAGGGCTTTGTGTTTTTCAGCGATCGTTGGAAGTCTGGTGGCTCCACAGAGCAGACCATTGATGTGCTGGTCGAGTTTGCTCAGATATAAACCCACAGCAGCTCTGAAACAGCTTAGTTTGTGTTTTTTGTTACTAAGTCAGGCAGTTTCCCTTCTAGAGTCACATTGTAGGCCAAACGGAGGCATTTTATGTTGCTGCACTAGTGCTCTGTTAGAGGAGAATAACGTGAGCTGTTGTGCACATTAACCCGCAGAAGGGGCTTTTTACCACAGGAGAGTTGGGTGCAGTTAATCAGGATGCGAAGGGAAGTGTTTTCTTTGTGCAGGAAACATTTTAAACTTGGGGGGTTTTGTCTTCCTTTTTCTCTTTCAGAGCTGTTGCGCAGCCACTGGTACCTGTATTGGGGAAACATAGCATACAAGCAAGAAGCTTACAGCCTCAGTGGCGAAAATTTTTTCATGTCAGAGACCGAGAACTCTTGCAGTCGTTTATGTCATCCCTTCTTCTCCAGACAGAAGATACCAAAAAGTTGCAATCAAAGATCTCTTCATCTTATTGATAAAGCTACTAATAAGCCAAAATGTCTGTCAATGTCAACCGCAGTGTGTCAGACCAGTTCTATCGCTACAAGATGCCCCGTCTGATTGCCAAGGTAATAGGGTTTCGTTTCTATTTCAGTAGGAAGTCAGAAGCTCTTCTCGTAGATCTTAAGAGACTACACCTAACTGGTTAGGCAGTGTGAAATTAAAATTTTTATTTCCTTTAGGTTGAGGGCAAAGGAAATGGAATCAAGACAGTTATAGTCAACATGGTTGACGTTGCAAAGGCGCTTAATCGGCCTCCAACGTGTAAGTAATGTGTCTCTGAGAAGTCTAAAAAGGCATATTATGAAGTGTTTGATGTGCTTGAATTCTGTGCTAGTTAATTAGCATAAGGATTAATGGAACCTTCGGCTTAAAAGTGACTGACTTATTGGTTGCTACTAGTAATGTAACCTAAAAATAGTCATAGTTATGTAAACGTGGGTGGGTAAAGATTAATTTTGTTAACTGTAAAGAGAGCCCTGGTGGTCTAGTGGTTAAGCTCTTGGCTGCTAACTGAAAATTCTGGTTCAAACCCACCAGCAGCTCCAAAGGAGAAAGATGTGGCAGTCTGCTTCCATAAGAATTACAGCCTTGGAAACCTTATGGAGCAGCTCTTCTTTGTTCTTTAAGGTTGTTATGAGTCAGAATCAACTTGACAGCAGTAGGTTTGGTTTTGGTAATGAATCAAAATTTTTTTCAAATAGATCCCACCAAATATTTTGGTTGTGAGCTGGGAGCACAGACCCAGTTTGATGTTAAGAATGACCGTTACATTGTCAACGGATCTCATGAGGCGAATAAGCTGCAAGACATGTTGGATGGATTCATCAAAAAATTTGTTCTCTGTCCCGAGTGTGAGAATCCTGAAACAGATCTGGTGAGTACTTCTTAGGTTTTTGCCAATAAAATAAAAAGCTACATATCTCTTTTGTGGTTAGTCTTGGTGATATCACCAAATCACATTCTTGGGGTGGCGGAACAGAATTAATTGGAAATAAACATAAATCGTCAAATTTTGGAGATATTTCCATATCGAGCTTTGTTTTTTAATAGATCATTTTGTGGAAATAGTATTTCTGGTCTATCGAACTGATGTTTTAGATGTTTTCTGAGGGTTATATGTTTTCATTCTTTGTTGTTCACAGTAGAATTGTCATATTTTATGGGTGACATACTTTTTTTTCCTCTTTTTGGCAGCATGTCAATCCAAAGAAGCAAACAATAGGTAATTCTTGTAAAGCCTGTGGCTATCGAGGCATGCTGGACACACACCATAAACTCTGCACGTTCATTCTCAAAAACCCACCTGGTAAGTCTTCATGGTGACTTTTCTAAGATCTTAATGTAAAGTAACCGATTGTTGGAAACAAAATGGAAGTTTCTTTATTCTAGAACTAGAATGTAAGGAATTTTCAATATTTGTACTGTGTTTAATCTAAGACGTTTGAATGTACCATCAAAGCTGCAAGTTAAACTATAGCAAATTTTAACACAGATCGTCTTAGAAGGGTTGAAATGAAGTATAAAACAGATTGATGGGATCCCAGCAAACAAAGAATTTACTGCTGAATTTTGGAATGCTATTTTTTATAAATGGGGCTTGGCTCTTAAGCTTAAGTTTATGCAAGCAACACTCTGTGGCAGATGATTGAAACTGTCTGACACAATTTGCGCTTGCTATAGCAAGAAAGTCTAACCTATTCCGGTGTTCTCTCCGTAGTGAGACAAGCCGTTATATAGGCTTAAACATTGTTTGAGCTGTTGGCTAAAGCCCAGTTGAGATTTGGTCTTGTTCTCAGCTCATGAGGGATAGAGGGGAGAGGTCATAAGGGACAGCCTTCACTACCTGATCTCTGAGGTATCAACGCTTCATCCTAATTTTATCCAGTAGTTTTTTTAGAAACGTGTGGAAGACTAAATAATAAAAGAGGAAGAGTGGGAAGTAAAAGGATTTTAATATTTAATAACGGTTTTACTATTAGTATTTTGGATTACTCTGTTCTTAGCCTGAGTTTCTTACCTATGAAATGGGTATATAAATCTAATACATGGAGCCTCTTAAAATTACAGGTAGAATCGTGTTTGTGGTTTTCTGAGGGAAGGCATCCATAGCATTCGTTGGACTCTTTGAAGTGGGAGTGTATATGATACAAAAAGCCAGGGTTTTAAATGTTCCTAACAGGCAGTGAGGTAATGTAATGTGGGATTAAACATGTATTTCCTCATAGAGAATAGTGACAGTGGTACAGGAAAGAAAGAAAAGGAAAAGAAAAACAGAAAGGGCAAAGACAAGGAAAATGGCTCCGTGTCAAGCAGTGAGACACCTCCACCTCCACCTCCAAATGAAATCAGTCCTCCTCCTCATGCTGTGGTAAGTGCAAGGTGACGGCGGGGTGGGCTCTCGAGTTGGGCAAAGTAGAAGACATTGGCTGAGGTGGGCAGAAGAGATGAAACTAGCCTTCAGTAGAACATGACAACAGCATTTTGATTTCTGGGTCCTGTTGATTGAACTAAGATGCCCCCAATTTATTTTAGTGGAAAATTCAGTGCCATTAGCTTGATTAAAAATCTGTTATTTTTCATGTTTTAAAAGTTTTTGACTAAATGTTTTCGTAAACAGGAAGAAGAGGAGGATGATGACTGGGGGGAGGATACAACCGAGGAAGCTCAGAGGCGCAGAATGGATGAAATCAGTGACCACGCAAAGGTTCTGACCCTCAGTGACGACCTGGAGAGGACCATTGAGGAGCGGGTCAACATCCTGTTTGATTTTGTTAAGGTTAGCCTGCAAATGCGCTTCCGCCCAGCCTTGGGCTTTTAGTTACTATTTTAAACTGGATGATTGATAACTTTTTTCATGATTGTTTTCTTTTGAATACTGAAACAGGAGGTTTATTTTCATTTTTTTCCTCCTCCATGTTTTTGTTTTGAAGTCATTTTATATTTGCAGAATAGTACATTGATTTTAAAAACTGATTCTGCGTTTCTTTTAATGATATTTGTTTTCTGTTAAAATATATCACTTTATCTCCTTTCTCACGGGAGGGCAAACATTTGTGAATCTAATTTGATGTGTCCTCAGAGAAACGAGAGGAGGTCATAGATCCAGATCTGCACTGCAGGTGGAGCAGAATGCATGGTGGTTCTGTGGCTGGCTATTAGGATCTACCTTTTTAAACACTCAGGCCCTCTTCCTAGATCTTGTGGGCCTTAGGACTCTTAAACTGTGGTATATTATTAATTCCTGATTGTCTTGCCTGCTGTCTCATGGGGTTTTTTTTCTGTAAAAATAGGTGTTTCACCAATGGAAATTACCGTTTATAAGTTAAATTTCAAAGCTGGAATTTTTCAAGGTGGAGTGTTATCTTTCTTAATTCTCAGGGATGCCTAATACAGAATAGGGACTACTTGTGAGGGAATTATTAAGTCTGTGAGAGCAGGACTTGCCTTGGTGTCTCAAACCTGGCAGAATGTGCCCCCATCTCAGTGAGTTTTGTTTCCTTTCATCTGCAGAAAAAGAAAGAAGAAGGTATTATTGAATCATCTGACAAAGAAATTGTTGCTGAAGCAGAAAGGCTGGATGTAAAAGCCATGGGCCCTCTTGTTTTGACTGAAGTTCTTTTTAACGAGAAGATTAGGGAACAAATCAAGAAATACAGGCGCCATTTTCTACGAGTAAGCAAATTATGTTTAGGTCTGTAAATGCCGTTAAAGTTGTGTGACCTTGGGAACATTGCTTTAACTTCTCTTGATCGTTTGTTCTCTCTGCCGTTCTGAGAAATACTCCCCATAGACCGTTCTGGATAAGTGATGTAGGGATCTTCATGCATTGGCCCATTGTGAGCTACTGGTATGTGGGCTGTAGCCTTGAAAGGATGAACGTACTTCAGTACCAGAGTTCTCAGCTTGTTAATGCCAAAATTTATGTGTTCGCAGTTTTGTCACAACAACAAAAAAGCTCAACGGTACCTTCTGCATGGTTTGGAGTGTGTGGTAGCAATGCATCAAGCTCAGCTCATCTCCAAGATTCCCCATATCTTGAAGGAGATGTATGATGCAGACCTTTTGGAAGAGGAGGTCATCATCAGCTGGTCAGAAAAGGTGGGGAATACATAGAATGAGCTTCTCAGGTGCAAAAGTAGTGTGACTGAGCTGTTGGGGTTTCTAACAACCTAGTCCTTTCTGTCTTCGTTAAAATGCAGTCCCTGTGCTTGACTAGTGTAATTCGTAGGTGATTTCTGCAATGTCTGGTTCGAAACTGCTCAGGTGGTTCAGTTTGTTTTTGTTGAACACACATTTCTGTTAAGGATTCAAGATTAGGATGTGACCCAATCCCCCTTAAAGATCTTAGCATGAGGGATTATATAAAGAAAACTGTACTCAATTTTTTTAGGCCTCTAAGAAATATGTCTCAAAAGAACTTGCCAAAGAGATCCGTGTCAAAGCAGAACCATTTATAAAATGGTTGAAGGAGGCAGAGGAGGAATCTTCTGGTGGTGAAGAGGAAGATGAAGATGAGAATATTGAGGTAAACTGGGGAGAATTTTAATTACAGTGTTGGTAGTAGGTATTTGAGAATTAAAAGGTTTGTGAACAGTAATAAAATGGCAGATTTTAGTAATTCAAAGTTTAAACTTCAGATACAATAATGGACAGGCTTTTGCTCATTTGGAAAATAGTCATTACTGGAAAAGACCCCAGACAATAAGAATAGTCTCTTTAATGCAGGTTGCATATAGATGAGTTGTCAGTAGAAATTGGCAGGCTGTTACTAGGCTTTGGAGACCATTTCAAGATAACTTAGTTTCTGATACCAAAAACTCTTCTATGTAGAATGATTACTGCGTCTAGGCGGTTTTATTCCTTTCTGAGAACTTTTTATTTACTGCTTCATTAGCAGATTTATTGGGATGAGAGTTTACAAATCAATAAAAAACATTTATTTTATCAGGTGGTGTATTCGAAGACTGCCAGTGTACCTAAAGTTGAAACTGTGAAGTCTGACAACAAGGATGATGACATTGATATTGATGCCATTTAAAATGATGGATGCAACCTAGCTTAACAGTTGTAATGCTGCAAAATTTCCTGCATTATCAGCTAGAAGTGCAACATGTATGTGCAAAAGCTACAATGGCTTAACATCATGCTACACTTTATACTAAAAATGTTATACTGTGAGTGGTCTGTAATTAGCCCAATGTGACATCTAAGGAGTCCATACACATCCATGAGCAGATATAGTTTGCTTATTTATAGCATGTTTCTTTCTGAAAACCTAGTGGTGGACGCATTTGGATCACATTTATAGTTACAAAAATAAAGATTTGTTTTTGGTCATTCTTCAGACTTTTGGCTCTGGATGACTTAAGCTGAGAGAGCTGGCTCCTTTTTAAAAGTGTTGCACCATCACTTAGCCTGAAAGGATTCTTGGAGCCTGTTAGATACTGTTAGGTGCTGGGACTAGAAAGAACTCATCAGCAGAATGTAAGCCTAAATTTATTTGTAATTTAACCATTTATTCAGCCATTAAGAAATTCAGTAACTTCTAAGTTTTCTCTGGCCCTTCAGATGGGCATCTGGTGATGCACATCCTTGCCGTGCTGAAGTGGACTGGCAAACCAAATGACAGTGGAACACAACTCACCTTTATCTCACTGAGAAGTAAAAAGGACCTGAGTGTCCTATAAATACTTTAAGAGCAGGTTTGAAACTTGAGTTGTGGTTTTTGTTTTTTGTTTCAGTTAGTGTACACTTGCCCCAAATTTTAGTCTTTGAAGTCATGTGCACTGCACATTGGATGAGCCAGGGAAATGATCACGTTAGCAAGCATTTTATGTGTGTGTGGCTGTTGCTTTGTGCTGAGAGAAAAAAAACTCAAACTTTGAGGTGTGATTAAATAGCAAACTTTTAGGATTTTATTTGGCAAAGCAGGAGAAGGTGCACTTAATATCTAGCAAAAACAGAAATTCTTTCAGCTTTTACCCCTGTGGTTTAGATTACAATTTCAAATTGTTTAGACATACTGTATCTTGTTCAGTGTGCTTTATTCTCCAGGTATTATGGTTTGTTCTTTAATGCCTTCTACATTTGGACGTTAGCTTAATGCTTTTTAGATTTTGGTTGCTGTTTTGCCAAAGTAAGTGTTACTTGTGTCCTAAGACTTGATTTCTTCCTTCTCCCCCCACCCCTCCCAAAATGTCTTATTTTAAAAAAAAAAAAAAAAAGCTAAAAGCATACTTCTAAGTCAGAGCCTGTATTTTGGCGTAAGACTTGGGATATTTTTTACTTCACATTGAACATAGGCAGATAGATACCCAAGAAATCTGTGAGGTTGGTCCCTGGGTGTGGGTCGCTGGGGCCTGACTCTGCCCATCTGGAGCTTTAGATTTGCTCATACAAATAAGAGTTGATCACTTCCTTGTGAATTCTTTGTCTAATTAGCTGATGTAAACTCACTTCGTACGGGTTCTGACTAAATCTGAGCAGTCCCATTTTTCAGGGTAAGAATTTGTTGCGTTTACTTGTCCCCATAAAAAGTGCATGATGGGAATCAAGAATCCATGGGTTTAATTTGTGGTAGGAGCACTGGCTTGTATCGTTCAACTCCCTGACTCTTACTCCTTTGTGGCCCATCTCACAGGTTTTAATGAGACCTTTAATAACAAGTGTATGTAAAAGTTTTCACATTGAAATTATACAGACATTTTGATACAAATAAAACCTTGTTAGTTTGATATTTGAAGGGAGG